AAAAAAGTACTGTGGCTTCCGATGCCTGAGCGACCCAGGAATGCTGAGACGCTTCCCACTACTAAGATTGACATCAAAGCTTGGGATACTGTGTTTAAGGTAGTCGGCCCTTCCTCTGGATGGTCGCGAGTAATGCCGCTGCCTGTATTAAAACTAGATTTTCCTGATTTAAATTTGTATAATTGCCACACTAAATCAATTCAAAATTTGAATGACTTTAAGTAATTATTTAATATCTTTTATGAAACTTCAAGATGATTTCGGCCTAGAATATAATATAAAACTGGAACACAAATTAATTATTAATAAAAATAAAAGATACATTTTCCATTCAAAATTTAGATCAAAATTATAAAGAAAATGCATTATCTGATCTAGAAAAAACATACTTACATAACCCTAATGAACGTGGTACTATATCTCAATGTTACTCTTATCTAATGCCCATACCTAGATTAAAAGATGATAACATGCTTGCATGGGGAAAAGATATGGGAGCTTGTTACGACCTGGAGGAATGGCTTAAATTTGTACCAGCTGTTAAAGGAGTTACACACAATATGTGTCAAGCATAGGACAGTAGAAAATGCTAAGGAATAGACACTTCTATTTGTCACTATTTACAAAAGAATAAAAGTAACTTATCGTTATAATGTGTCAGCTTCCTCTCAGGATATTCCAGACTTTATCCCGTATAAAATAGAATGCATGTACAGAGTAGTAGAGGAATTTAGCTGATTATCTACAGAAGAAAAGCACAAAACATAGTGTAATATTGTAAACAATAATAAGTAATGCGCAATTTGAAAGGACCTCACAAGATTTAGATGTTTAAAACGCCTTAAGGTGCCTCCCCAGGAAATGGTTAAAAATAATATGCTTTATTTTATAAAAAGTGAAAAACAAAAAGGACCTGTTTGTTTTTCACTTTTTATAAAATTGAACATATTATGTGATTTTTTGGGGGCCAGATCTCTCTCTCGGCTGGCAGTGATGTGACCAAGGTATGGAAGTCCGGACTCAGGAAATGGTTAAAAATAATATGCTTTATTTTATAAAAAGTGAAAAACAAAAAGGTCACATCACAGAGGAAGATCTGGTTTTACCCCCCAAAAATCACAGGAGAAGCACCTTAAGGCGTTTTAACCCCTTAAGGACCAAACTTCTGGAATAAAAGAGAATCATGACATGTCACACATGTCATGGTCCTTAAGGGGTTAAACATCTGAATCTCGTGAGTTCCACTATGTATTGTGTTTTTCTTCTGTAGATAATCAGCTAAATTCCTCTACTACTCTGTACATGCAAAGGAGTTACACAGTGCTACAATCATTGGGAAAACCATTGCAAAATAATTTAAAAGATGGTACTTATCCCCCTATAGGTTGAATAAAATGAACTCCAGATATTCAGATAAATGTTGGAGAAACTGTGGAATGTTTGGCTTGCTCTCACATGTTTTTTGGTATTGTGCTAAACTCACACAATTTTGCCAGGAAATCCATAAATTAATCCAAAAAGCAAATTCTAATATGTTGTGTCATGTTATGTGTACTAGAATTGGTTATAGTCATTAGAATTTAAGTTGAAAAAAGCTATTATGGATATCTGCACTCCCCCTTCCCCTTTTTCCCTTTTTTTTTCTTCTTCCTTTGCACCTCCTCCCAAATTTGCATTTTTTTGTTTTACTTATTAACATTGCAATTTAATTGCATAGTTCATTCATACAAATATGTTATCACAATGAAAACTGACTATAAAGTGCCTGTTCAATACTTTCATCATTGATTTACATACGGACTGGATACATTGATATTTATTCTTTTTATCTATAACATAAATAGTATTTTCCTTTTCATGGTAAAAATTATTGTTATATATTTTTTTTTCATGGTAAAAATTATTGTTATATATTTGAAAAGAAGACAGACCGTCACAGTGCGATTCTATCATTTCACTACCAGAATTCTGAATTAATGACAGCAGTAGCAAAGATGTAAGTTTCAGAGTGGGCAAGAGAGGAAAGAAAGAAAGAGTAATTGAAAAACAAAATCCTAATATTTTTTTCTTTGAATTCCAGTTAACTATTTCACAGCCATTGACATTCAACGTTATTGCAACTGGAAAAGGAATAGCTATTTTTCAGGTATGAATATTCTAAATACTGCATTACTTCTTATATCATTATTTAATTAAGATAACGTTTAAGGTTAAAAGTCATATATAATGGAAACTCACAATGATACAACTCCAACCACTAACATATTACCTGACTACAACAAACATACTCAAACACGTTTTTGAGCTGCTTCAATCATTTTCAAGCAGAAGCATTATCTTTAAGATTAACCTTACTTATGTTTGTTTTTGAGAGAGAGGGCACAATAAATTATAATAAATGCTACATTTACATAAGGAAGGGATTTACAAATACAGGGACAAGAGATGCTTTCAGTTTTTGAGTGAACACTTATTTCTCCTCCACACACACATGGATCTTCTTCAGTGGATGTTTCAGGCTCTGTGAAAAATAGTTTTTTTGACATAAGGCCTGACAGGTTGATTTTGGCTCCGATACTAAAAGAAAGATAACCCAGCAATGCATTAATTCAGAATGATTAGCATACTCACTATTTCAGTTGTCTTGTTTTAGAACTCTGTGCTATGTTTTTTTGGGAACAGTTCCATGGTGTCAAACTCACCAAGAAACAAAGTCAAGATTGTGGGATAAGACTTTGTTCCCTGGTGAGTCTGCTGCTAGAGTATACATAGGTGCTATAAGGCTACAAAGTGGCTTCAAGTTGCATGACATCTGTTTAGCTCTGTGAATAGACAGCATTCTCTTTCACTCAGAAAAGGTCAACAAAATTATGTTTGCTGATTGCTGGAAAAGTGGAAGGACCTGAACCCTTTCCACACAGCTAATCATGTAGAGCAGGGGTGTCAAACATGCGGCCCCCCAGATGTTGCTGAACTACAACTCCCATGATTCCCTGGCTATCTGTTTCATTGAAATAATCATACAACTCCCATGATTCTCTGGCTATCTGTTTCATTGAAATAATCATGGGAGTTGTAGTTCAGCAACATCTGGGGGGGCCGCATGTTTGACAACCCTGATGTAGAGGATATATTGGTAATTTTCTGATACCCATTTCTATTTTACAGCTAAACATAAATTATAACCAGAAAGCATCTTCCCGACGTAAGAGAAATGTCCTCATACCAGAAGCATTCACCTTAGATGTCAGAGTAAATGATAATAAAAATGACATTCATAGGCTGTCTGTGGATGTATGTACAAGGTACAAGCTACTTTTTCCTCCACCTCAAGACTCAGTTTAGCTCTTCATGTTTTCTTCACTTGTTCTCTCAAATTAATCAGCTTGTATTTTGACAACTATTAAACTTATATTTTCCTACTGTTTCCTCTACTCTTTCTCTCTCAGCATCTGTTCTTCTTTTCTTCCTATTTTACCTAGTTTTCTTTAAAACATAAGACAATGTTGGACCTACTTGTTTTTGTTTTGATTTCATAGCTATGAAGGAGAAGGCAGTGAAAGTGGAATGGTTCTTTTAGATGTTGGATTTCTCAGTGGATTCACATTGGCTCAAGAAGGAATTCCCACTAAAGGATCACTTAAAATGGTGGAAAAAAATGACGACAAAGTATACCTTTATTATGATTCAGTGAGTATGAGCTATTTACTAAATTTCACAAAGCAATAACAGGAAATATTTGTAGTGTATAAAACAAAATTACTAACTCATCCCTGAATAAAAATTCAAAATGACATTATTTAGACCAAAATAGTTGAGTTAAAATTCTTCAACCCAGGTATAGTTGCTTGGCTGTTTCTGCCTGTCTTTGGTAGTGTTGCGTTGATGTCACACTGTGGACCTTTAATATCTTAAATGATAATGACACTCATAGGACTTAAATGGACACTTAAGGCGCCAATACCTCTTATTGTCAATGCATTGGTTATGGTGTCTTCTTATCTCTATTATCAAACCAGTTATGGAATAGCAGCATATACGCTGATCAGCTACACAATTAAAACCACATGTCTAATATCATGTAGGTCCCCTTGTTCTGCCAAAACAGTTCTGATGCATCGAGGCATGGACTCAACCAGACTTTTGAACTTGTCCTGTGGTATCCAGCTCCAAGACATTAGCAGCAAATCCTTTAAGTTCTTCAAGTTGCAAGGTGGGGCCTCCATGGATCGGATTTGTTGTTCCAGCACATCCCATAGATGCTCAATTGGATTAAGATCTGGGGAATTTGAAGGACAAGGCAAAACCCTTTTACTCTTTATCATGTTCCTCAAACCATTCATGAACATTTTTTGCAGTGGCAGGGTACATTATCCTGCCGAAAGAGGCCACTGCCACCACCAGGGCCGGACTGGCCCACCGGGATACCGGGAAATTTCCTGGTGGGCCGCGGCACCTGGGGCTGAGCTGACAGCCCCATTCAGTACTTATCAGGCTCCTGTGATCCCGGCAGGCCATGTGCAAGGTGTGCGGCCGCACAGGACCCCATGGGAGCAGGGGGAGCCAGGCGGCCAGCACAGCTCACACATGGCCGGCCGGGATTGTTTAAAAAAAAAAAAAAATTGTGGCAGGGCGGGGCTAGCGTGTGACGGCGTGGGGCTAGCGTGCGGCGGGGGCGGAGCTTACTGTGCGGCGGGGGCCTGGCTAACAGCATGGGAAGCAGGAAGGAGTCCCTGCTTCCCCAACAACCAGCCTCCAGGAGCTCCAAGCAGGAGGTAAGAAGCAGGTCAGTGTGTCTGTGTGTGTGACTATCTGTGTGTGAGTGTGTGACTGTCTGTGAGTGTGTGACTGTCTGTGTGTCTGTGTGTGTGTGACTGTCTGTGAGTGTGTGTGTGTGTGTGTGTGACTGTGTGTGTCTGTGTGTGTGACTGTGTGTCTGTCTGTATGTGTGTGTGTGTGACTGTCTGCCTGTGTGTGACTGTCCGTGTGTGTGACTGACTGACTGTCTGTGTGTGTGTGACTGTCTGTGTGTGACTGTCTGCCTGTGTATGACTGTCTGTGTGTGTGACAGTCATACACAGGCAGACAGTCACACACAGACAGTCACACACACACAGACAGGTGTGTGTGACTGTCTGCCTGTGTGTGTGTGACTGCCTGCCTGTGTGTTTGAGTGCCTGCCTGTGTGACTGCCTGCCTGTTTGTGTGACTGTCTGCCTGTTGTGTGTGACTGTCTGCCTGTTGTGTGTTAGTGAGCTTGGCTGTAAGGAGCATGGGTGTGTCGGAGACTGGCTGTGGTGAGCATATGTGTACAGTGAGCTTGTCTGTAGTAAGCATGAGTGTGATCGTGAGCTTGTCTGTAGTGACCATGTGTGTGTCAGTGAGCTTGTCTGTAGTGAGCATGTGTGTGTCAGTGAGCTTGTCTGTAGTGAATCTGTGTGTTAGTGAGCTCTTCTGTAGGGAGCATGTGTGTGTCAATGGGCTTGTCTGTAGGGAGAGTGTGTGCGCATCAGTGAGCTTGTCTGTAGTGAGCGTGTGTGTGACAGTGAGCTTGTCTGTAGTAAGCTTGTGTGTGTATCAGAGTTTGTCTGTACTAAATTTATATATATATATACTGTTGCATCACCAGGGATCCAGTATATATATATATAGGCAATTGAAATAGTTGGCTGCAAGCTTGGATTTCCTTAAAATTTAACTTTTATTGAAATATTTAAGAGAAGATCAACGTTTCAGTCCCTCTTGTGGACTTGCATCAGGATCATGACGAAAGTCCACAAGAGGGACTGAAACAGTGATCTTCTCTTAAATATTTCAATAAAAGTTACATTTTAAGAAAATCCGAGAGTGCAGCCAACTATTTCAAATTTTTTTTCCAGGGCTGCTTCGTATCCCCAGTCTGGCACTGGCCACCACTGAACACTATCACTGACCAACTATGATGAGTAATGCTTCAAAATATTCATCTTGTTCTCAAGCATTTCTCATTATAGGTGGTGTATGATAGTCCAAAAGTATCCAGCTGAGCTTATCACTGTGACTCAAGCTAATGCTTCCACATTTTAGCAGCAGAGGAGAAGATATGAAAATGGGCTGGCTCCCTAGGGACTCCGTTTCAGTTATTCAAAAAAGATTTAACCCTTGCAGGTAGGAAGGCACCAGGGTATTCTAGACTCCATATTCTATTGAAATGAAGAAATGAAGTGGTTTGGTACCTGAGGTGTTTTTTTAAAGAATAAATAAAACCACTTGTTGAATACATACAATAACATACAGTCAACATTTGAATATTTTTTTAAAGACTTTTCTAAAGATATTAATATAATGAGGTTTAAATTTATTAGTATATTCTGTTGCACAATACTTAAAATAAAATAGTTCTCTTTTATGTTTTGAAATCATATGAGTGCAGACCTACATGTTGGAAAAATAATGTTCAATGTTACATTTTTTTTATCCCACCTGTATATCTACACATTTTACTCACACATTGCATTATATTGCTGGTATCATTATTTTTACTAGGCTGCTTTTTACTCTCAGTTTGGCCCCGACCGGTGGTGTATCCTGGTTTTGTACTGCCCTAGGCAGGACAAAACTCAGGCACCCCCCTCCCCCCGCGCCACTGCCACCCAACCCTTCCCCCGCTCCGCCTTCTAAATACACACACATTCACTGACAGATACGCATTCACTAGCTAACAGACACACACTCACAGACACACACTCACAGACACACACTAACAGGCAAACACACTCACACACACTAACAGGCAAACACACACTCACTAATAGACACACACTAACAGGCAAACACACACACACACACTAAAAGGCAAACAGACACATGCAAACAGACACACACACACTAACAGACGCACACACACTAACAGACACACACACATACACACTAACAGACACACACACACTAACAGAAACACACACACTAACAGACACACACACACTAACATATTCACTTGTGTTTTTATTTTTATTTTTATTTAACCCCCCCAGCCTCCTTACCTTTGGGAATGCTGGGGGGTTCTTCCTCTCCTTGGGGTCCAGTGGCTGCTGGGCAGGTGGCGCTTGGTCGGCCGGCTGGCGAGGGAGCACTTTCCCCTGAGCTCTCTGCTCAGCTCCCTCGCGCGCCGCAGAGTGAGGCTGGGAGCCGGAATATGACATCATATTCCGGCTCCCAGCCTCACTCTGCGGCGCACGAGGGAGCTGAGCAGAGAGCTCAGAGGAAGTGCTCCCTCACCAGCCGCCCGCTCAGCGCCGCTCGCCCAGCATGTCAGTTAGCCGCAAGGCTAACAAGGCATTTGCCCTGGGCATTTGGGGGGCGGCGTTTTTTGCCGCCCCCTGAAAAATGCCGCCCAAGGCAAATGCCTTGTTTGCCTCGCAGCTAAAACATCCCTGGCCCCGACAGGATATGAATAACATGACCAGAATCAAAATTGTATAGTAACATCATTCTTAGGAACCAGCTTAAGAACAAACTAGATCAATAACAGAGGAAAACACATCCACAACCGCATACACAACATTGTGTAACCCTTTAATGACGAATGACGAACCTGGTTCGTCACACAGGGGAGACCCTTAACGACGGGTGACGGACCAGGTCCGTCATGCGTTAAAATGAACCCCAGATCGCCACAATCGAGAGGTTAATAGTGCTCTATATTAGAGGCAGACCACGAGCACGCGATCACGCTGCCCCTGCAGCAGTGCTCGCTCTGACAGGCTGTCAGAGCGAGCACATGTGCTGCAGGGACTCACGATCCGCCTCCCTGGGCTTCCGGGTTCTGTATGAAGTGCAGGGAGATGGATCAGTGGTGATCTTCTCCCTGTTAAAAAAAATAAAGTTAAATTAAAATCCCACCCCCCCTTTACCCATTTTAAATAAAAACTGGCAGACAATAATGATTATCACAATCAAAATCCATGAGGAAAGTATCCTACATAATGCTGTAGAGACTTAAAGGTATAATAGATACAAAGATGAAATGTTGGGCCTGCTCACAAACTAGTATTAAGGTAATATAACTGGCATTACCAGCCAGACTTTGGACACCTACTGTTAAAACACAATCAACACAATGACGATGCTTTATAAATTCCAGGAAGGATAATTAATATTCCTCTCTCAATATCCAATTAATGTTGTCAACTTGCTTTTACCAGTTTATTCTAGATGTACCAATGACCCAATATTATATTCTCCTATTTCATACTAACCTTAATCATACTTGATCTCTTCTCAGTTTCCAACTCATGATTTTCAAACAGGACACCAGTATCATATTTATCTATACAAATATCGGAATATTTGTCATACCATTTTAAATAGCAATGAAAATGTATTTTTTATTAATAACTGTAAAGAAGCAAATCAAATATAGGCATTCAGACATGGTGCCACTGATGTAGGGAATTTTGCATTTAGGTTTTTAACACTGAGAAATAATTTACTGAGTAACTTGAAGAAAATATATTAGTATTCACATTTTATATTGTGACTTCTCTTTTAGGTGAACAGAACCCAAGTTTGTGTATCTGTTCCAATGGTTCGCACTGCAAATGTAGCTGGCTCACAGGATTCTGTGATAACAATTCTGGAATATTATGATCCAAGTAAGTAATGAGAGTGAGACCTATATATATATATATATATATATATATATATATATATATATATATATATATATATATATATATATATATATGTATTATACAAATAAAATAGCAGGTAATTTTAAAAATATAAACCAATAATCATTTACCAAAACATGCATGAACCAACCTCAAAAAAACAAGAAATCTGACCTGAATTATTGCTTAACCCCAGTAGTTAGGCACATTTAGTTTTTTACTTTGTGGGCACATTTAGTTTTTTACTTTGTGTTTTATTTTCAAAATGTCAACTTTATTTAAAACCAAAATGAATCACCATCAATTGAATCTGTGGCTTGAGGGTATAAATGACTTTGCTGACCGTGGGATCTGGCACTCATATAGATGATGGTTAGACATGTGCAATTCGTTTTGTTCCGATTGTCAATTGACAAGAAGAAGTGCCGAATTTCGCTGAATGTCCGAATAGCCGAAGTGCCGAAACACAGAATTGCCGAAGTAATAATATACCCAATGGAAGAATGAAGAATGTTACACTGTATACCAGTTTAAATAAAAAGTATACACACATAGTCAGGATTCAGCTGTAAGCATTTGCAATGCTTACAACACTTACAACAATCAAGTAACACGTTCATATATGTTACTTAGCCAGTCAATGGATGGGGATGAGTAAGTATAACTCCCTAATTCCCACGGTATAAGAGAGATATCTACCAAAAGGCTGAAAGACCTAATTTATAGTAAAAATTACTTAGTATTAGTAAATTCTGCCCCTACTCGCTATACCTCGAGTAGGGGCATGTCTAGTAAACAGTGAGCAGCCTGTTGGTGGGGGCCCTGGATGACAATGGGGGGAACCTATCATGTGTGTCCTGGCCCCCACCCCTGAGCGGCAGGTGGGGGCCTTAAATCAGTATAAGGAGGGACCTATTGTCCTCCCCTCTTACCCCCCACCCCTGAGAGGCAGGTGGTGGCCCTAAATCAGAATAAGAACTTTCCCACGCTATTGTCCTCCCCCCTGGCCCCCACTCCTGGGTGGTGGTTGGGGGCCCTAAATTACTTCAAAGGGGGGGACGTATTGTCCTCCTCCCTGCCCCCACCCCTGAGCGGCAGGTGGGGGCACAAAATCAGAATGGGGGGACCTATTGTCCTCCCCCCTGAACAGCGGGTTAGGGCCCTAAAGTAGAATAAGGGGGGGAACCTATTGTCCTCCCCCCGGCTCCCACCCCTGAGTGGCATGTGGGTGCCCTGAAGTAAAATAAGGGGGGATTACCTATTGTCCACCCCCTTGTCCCACACCCCTGAGCGGCGGGTGGGGGCCCTAAAGTAGAAAGGGGGGGACTTATTGTCCTCCCCCCTTGCCCCCACCCCTGAGACACACCCCCTCACCCTAAAAATTGTGAGGGGGGAACAATAACAAAGTACCTGTAAAAAAAAAGAAATAAAACTTACCATTTGATGTCTTCTTTTTTCTAA